CCCTCCCCTCCCCGCTCCGTGCCCCTTTGGCTCCGGGCCTGCGCTCCGGCGCTGGCAGGAGGAGGGGTCTCAGGGCTCAGGTTACAGCGCGGCTGGGGGCAGGGGAGGACTGAGCTCCGGGCATATACACCGGCTCCTAGAGGGCAGAGGGGCCATATAACGCGGTGCCTCGGCCCAGAGCAGGCGGTGCAGAAGTCTGCTGGGGCCCTGGTACCTTGGATTCTCCTGCTGCTTCCAGTCACCGAGGGAGGATCGGCTGCATGAAGGCTCGGTAGCCCCTGGGGAAAAGCAGCCTCCTGTTCTCTCCTCCGCGCACAGAGCCCTGCATGTCTCACAGTTAGACATGGGCAGCTCTGGGCACTCAAGGACTTTAGTGCTGCTCGCAGCCATCCAGCTCCTTGCATTAGCCGTGGTCAGGTGTCAGGAGGACGATATCCGTAAGTGGCACCTTTTTCTTCTCCCCCCTTGGCCATTTCCCCTGGAAGGGGGAGGTGGGCTCCACGCCACAGCTAGGGCAGAGCCAGGCAGCAGGGCGCTGCAGCTTCGGGAGGGACGGGGTGGTGGGAGCAAGGGTTGCAGACCTGGGAGAGGTGGCTTTGAAAAAACGTTCCTGCAGACCTGGAAAACTGGCCTCATGTTTGAACCTGAGCTCGGAGGCCCCCCGGGATGGGCCTTTTCTCTGCTCGGAGCCGGCCCGGCGTTCCGGACCCTGGATGAGGCTCACTTGAACGCTGGATGCACGTGGATGGGAGAAGCGGAGTCCTGTCCCTTTTAAGGCTGGGTGGCCTTGGAAGAGCCGTGCTTTCATTAATCCCTGCCTATTATTTCGGCTCCAACCCCCCTCTCTGAGTTGCTTTCCACCCTGCAAAGGGCTCAGAACCCACCCCAGCGAGGACAAACCGGCCCCCCGCCTCCAGCAGCAGTGAACGAGTTAATGCAGCCAAGCGGAGTGGGGTGGGGGGTTCACGGGGGAGCCAGACAAAGGGACAAACCAGAGCCGGAGGCTTCCAAAGAAAGACCTTTCTGTAGCTCTTCCGTACGTAACTCTCCCACCCGCTTCTCAGCTGGGGTGGGGTGTAAGGTGCAGAAGTTGAGGGCTAACCACCTTTTCGTTCAAGGATCAGAAAAGAAATCCCCTCCCCCCGCAAGATGAGGCCACCTGGAGGATGAGAGGCATTCCAGACAGACACACTAGACAGATTGTTCAACTTCTCCCCCCGCTCACCATCCCCCCCGAACCCAAAGAGGGAAACAAGGGGACAAGTCCCGTCCCCAACATTTTACCCTTTCTGCAAGTGCCAGATCGTCGTGTGCAATAGCTGCAGGATGTGACAGTGAAGTCCAGGGCAGCCAGCCCTTCCCCCTACCCCAGACAAACTTCTGCTCTGGCATATTCTTCAGCCTGGAAGCTGGAAACTGTATTAGGTAGAAAGGATTTTTTTCACTTGTTTGGGCAGGTTTCCTATTGCTCAAATTCCATCCCTGTCTCCATATGCTCCAGACTGTAAATCAATTTCGGGGGGGGGGAGAGAGAGCGAGCGAGCTTGAAAATGCCTCTTTGCTCCCTTGCTTCTGGGCCTCGCCGTCTTTCCCACAACCAGCCGGAGAGTCCAGCAAGGAGGAGGTGAAATTCCTGCAGGCGCAGGGGCGTTGCTAGGCCCTTCTCACTGGCTTGGTTCCTGACAAAAGGGTCGGATTTGTAAGATTTCCCAGTGAGACACCTTCATCTGGCTGCGTGCCAGTGAGGCTGGAGCAATGTGGGGGGGGGCTGACGCCAGGTGGGGTGGCAGTCACCTCATTCCTAGCCCCACTGCCACATCCATCCCAGGAGAGGTCAGACGTTGGGGGCTACGCCTGGGAATCTGGCTACTTGTGGCCAAGGCTAATTCTGTTTCTTGTTCCTATTCCTGGCAAAAGGCTGCGGCTTGGTTAGTTAATTCTGTTGTAGGAAGATGCTCTCCCCACAGCGGCATCTATTGTGCAGCGAAACTTAGCAGAGTGGTTCCTCTAAGCAGTTTTCTGCCGCCCTGCCTGCCTCTCTAGGTCAGCCCGCAGCCCGCTAGCTGCCACCCTTCCGCGTGTGGCTGAGCTCCTCAGGTGTGCAGCACAAGCAGGGGGACCACGCATGCCCCTGAGCTTTGTTCTCCAAAGCAAAGACTCGCACCCTGCGTTCCAGGAGGGGAACTTACTTTGTGTTCCGATGGCTCTCACCCTTTCGGAGGCTCATCTGCAAAAGTTTTCTCCAGGTCATGGAGGGAGCTCAATTCCCCATTGTGAGCAGCTTGTTTGCACAGGGGAGATTGGCAGCGATCGCTTCCAGATGGAGCCGAAATGCTGCCCTTATTTATTTAAACTGGTTCCTAACAGCGCCACCTGAATCGAGCTCTGTGTGTGCTCGAGAAAAGCCCCATTCATCAGAGGGAGGGTCCTCTGGGCTCCCCAAGGTGCCCGGGCTCCCTGCACAAAGGCCCCCCTGTCCTCTCAGCTGCTGCCATCATGTTTCGGAGGGGGAGGGAGAAACACGCTGCAGAGGCACTTACATTTTTATGGGTCTCCCCCTGTTAAGATCCCTCCTCTCGAAGTGTTGCCATCAGGACAATAGGACAGTGAACTCTCCTCTCCACTTCTGGATGCTTGTTCCTTTTGCATTTTTGTGCCCCCCTCCCCCGCAAGACTGCAGCAGTTCCCCCTCCTCCACCCCTGGGCTCCTTGGTCCATTCATGGGCTTTGACTTTGATTCAGTTTGTTTCTCTTTTATGGTGTTTTGATTAGAAAACCAGACTCCGCCTGGAGAGCGAGCCAGGGCTGTCTTTGTGTTTGCCACAGGTCTCTGTCTGCAGCGTGCATTCCAGAAGCAGCCGGGGGCATTTAAAGACCTTTCTTTGTCGCTTTGCTCTTCGCCTTTTCCCTAGTTTTTCTCCCCTGGTGGGCAATGGGGGAGAAGTTGAACAAAGCAGACTGGTGTAATGCTGCCCCTTCTGGGCAGTGCTGAGAGAGGGAATCCGCGCCTGATTCTCCTCCCTGTCTACACTGGCGTGAATCCGGAGTCACTCAGTTGGCTCCCACACCTGCGTAGAACTCGTGTGAAACCCAGCTCAGGCCTGGTGCGCTGGAAGAGCACACCGGCCCCTGTAGAAAAGAGACACGTGGGCTCGCTGGGCATGGGCTGTGGCTGCCCTGAACTCTACTGGGCGTCTGGGCACTGCTGTGCCGTCAGTTTCGCTCAGGCAAAGTGAGGGTGGTGGGGAATTAACAGGGGGGGGGGGGGGTGCCTGCAGCAGTGTGAGTAGCAGGAGGAGCCTGGGCCTTCGAGACCATTCTTCCTTGTCCTCCAGGCCTCTGAGTTGTGCTGTGTCTGTGGAGTGGCCTGTGGGGTGTCTAAGGACAGGTGTCTGGGAGACCCAGAACCGTGCCCCCAGGGAGCTGGCTTGGACCGGGAACCCGGGAGGTTATTTCTGTGCCCTGTTGCAGCTGGGCTGGGATTCCTGTAACCGATGCTGATGGTTTCTCTCTCCCTTTTGGTTTTCTCCTTTTTGCCTCCCTCTCACCCCCCACTGCGTCTCCTTCCCCCTTCCCTTCCTTTCCCTTTGGCACAGAGGAGGCAGGCAGCTGTGTGCAGGATGGGCAGAGGTATAGTGATAAGGATGTGTGGAAACCCGAGCCCTGCCGGATCTGTGTCTGTGACACAGGGAATATCCTCTGCGACGAGATAATCTGCGAAGACATGAAAGACTGTCCCAGCCCCGAGATCCCCTTCGGAGAATGCTGCCCTGTCTGCCCAACTGACCAGCCTGCTGTCAGCGGTCGTAATTTATTTATTTCCCTTCCATAAATAAATTACTCGAGTTCATTGCCAAGCGCAATAGCCCCCCAGTGGATGAGCACCCAGCAAGAGGCTGGGGCATCCATGGGACCTAGCCAGGAAAGGCCACTTCTCCTGGACTCCGCTGGGTCCACCTCTTTGCCTAGGACGCAGAAGGTCTGAAATAACAGTTTGGCCAAATCACAGACGAGACATCACCGGTCAGTCTGACAGCCCCAGTTCTAAGGGCATCTCAGGCAGGACCAAGCCTCCAAGACAACCCCAAAGCTGTCTCTGCCATGCCTGCAAATCAAGGCCCTGAGCAGCAGTGGGGCCTTATTTAAACCCATTGCCCACAGATCTCTAAGCCATGAAGGCGGAAGCGGCACAGTGCTAAGTACACAGGGCATGGGATTTTTTTGGTTTGGTTTCTTAGTATTTAGCCACTCCCCAGGGGCCAGAAATTGCAGGGTGTGCTGGAAACCCAGCTGCGATCTAAAAACGTGGTTCTGGGACCGGCAAGGATCAAAACTCCTTTTCGTTTCATTCCTGCGCGCCCTCCAAAATGACCTTGAGCCAGCTCGGTAAGAACCTCCAAGTTGATGGGGGTGACGGCTGATCCTGAGAGTCAACGTTCTGTGCCTGGCTTTGTAAAAAACCCCACTCCCTGGACCTCCCCCAGCTGCAGCGTAGGGCTGGGTTCTCAGACTCGCCCAACCTGGGGCAAAAGCCACTCCCGCTTGCCAAGCATTGTGAGATCCTCCACCGAGGACCCATCCCAGGGGCAGGGCCGCTGTGAGACCTTCTCTGTTCTAGTCCCATTGAGAGCGGAAGTCGCCTTTCTTAACCCTTTGCTGACACAGGCTATGGTTCCGGCACCCCCCTGTGAGCGGGGAAGGGCTCTCAGCCTGCCGGTGTCCGGGAAGGGTTGAGCGCAAACGGTCACGATTTCCCACGCTGATTCGGGACCCTGCCGAACGTAGCTCTTAACGCTGCCGCTTTGGTCTTTGGCACGTTGGCTTCAGAAGATTTTCCTGGTCTTGCGCGCGTGTTTATTAACCCCCCTCTTCCTCTGAACGCCTAATTCTCCGGCTGCTTCGTGACCTTGCCCCGGTCCGTTCTGGGAGGGCAGGGGGACCAGCCTGCCACGGAGCTGACGTTTTCGCCACCCGCCATTGGCAGTTTGGAAGCCTGTTATCCCACCATGCTTTGCATGAAACTTTGCCTGTGTACGTGAAATGCTGGCCAATTTCCGGCCGCCCCCGGCAGAGCGGTGACAGCAGCACTCAGGCACTGGGCAGAGAGGAGAAAACCGGCGTTACCCCCATCACATCCCTCCCTGGCGTCTTAGCCAGTGACTTGTCGCGCGAGGTGCTGTCGTGATGGCGTATCCGACCTGACCCTTTCTCTCTCTCTCTCGTTTCAACAGGGCAGCCTGGGCCCAAGGTGAGACCCTTGTTATTCTTATTTATCTCAACCACCGGCACCTTCTTCCGACTTCCGCCTTTACTGCAGTGTTGAGGGTATTGCGTTCCAGACTCTGTTCCGTTTACACTCCTGTCAACCAGGAGTGACTCCGCTGGAGTCAGTCCGCTGTAAGGCCCATGCAGGTGACAACGGAGTCAGACCCCCGGTGGATACACAAGTTGTGCTGGTTTAGTGAGACCGGTGCACCCTGGCCAGCGTGGACACTGTTCATCTGGCAGAGTTTATGGGCTTAAAGCACAGAGTGCGCCAGTGTGAACAGTCCTTGGCAGGGTTGTGCGGGCGCACAGGAAGCTGATTAGGTGCATTTCCTGGGACGGGTGTGCTTGTGGGCGAGGCTGGGGGGGCGTTGATTCTGCTGTCTAATTCCACGTGCTTTGCGTTGCAGGGACAAAAAGGAGAACCCGGTGATATTAAAGATGTGAGTTTGAATCCATTTTTCTGCGTGTCCGCCATTATTTCCCAGGGGGTGGGGAGGGTGATTTTGGAGGGCTCTGTGTGCACATCTACACTGCAACACTGTTCCGAAATAACTTCGTCTACGCAGCCGGCGGTTATTTCGAAATAGTGTCACAATACTGTCAAGCTGGAGGACTTCTTCCTCCCACTCCTGCGACCCTCGCTGTGGGAGGAGTAAGGGAAGTGGGAGGGAGAGTGCTCCAGTTCGAAAGAAGTGCTGTGTAGACGCTACTGATTTTGAAATAAGTGAAGTAGCTCAATTTGTGGAGCTCATTTTGAGTTAAGCCCTGCAGTGTGGACGGGCTCTGTGTGAGCTTCCTTCTCCGCTAAGATTCCCTGCGTTTCTCTCTCCCACCCAGGTTGTAGGACCAAGAGGGCCACCTGGACCCCAGGTGAGGAGTTCACATCCTCTGTCACAATGTTTGGGGGGGGGACAAAGACAATTCTTCGGAGACCGTTGAACTCCTCTTGTCTCACCTGTTTCAGGGACCTGTGGGGGAACAAGGACCAAGAGGCGACCGTGGGGATAAAGGAGAAAAAGTGAGTTTAAGAAAAAGCCACCAACAGAGGGCAAAAGAGCTGACCCTCCCCAAAAACCCACCCCGGGGATTAAATACTTCCAAGAGCATCACAGTGGCCCCTGCCCATCTCAGTATTTCTGCCTCTGAACATGAGAAATATTCTTTCAGAGCAGACGGCGATCTCATTTGCCATCTCGATTCTGGTGATGTCTAGAGCACTCAGGCATGGACCAGCTCCCTAGATATCCAAAGCGCTGTGGTTCCAGGACGGTGCAGTGTTTCCAAGGACCATGCCCCATGGCCGTGGCATATAGTTAATAACGAGGAATGTGTAAAATGACGAGGATACGCTGTGAGCTGTCTCCATGCCGGTTCCCCAAGCACTGCTCTGTAGGAGTCATAAGGACGCTCAGCCCTGAATGGCCGGCCGTGGGCCACTGAGAATGAGTTGCTGCTAACAGTTAGTGCTGTGTAGCTCGCGCACGCGGGGGCCAGGCCCGTCCCATCGCTGAAGGCACCGCTCTGTGTTAATAGTTATGTTTGCGATAGACCAGCCATGGAACCTACAGAATGAAGAGTTGATTATTCAGAATAAATAATCGCCCTTTGGCTTTCCAAGGACTCACGTTACATCCGCCAAAAGGGTGCCAGACTGCTAGTCTGGGGTGACCTTTCTTCTTGCTCCATGTAGGGTGCTCCTGGCCCTCGGGGTAGAGATGGCGAACCTGGCACCCCTGGAAACCCCGGACCCCCAGGACCCCCAGGTCCTCCAGGGCCCCCTGGGCTTGGCGGAGTGAGTACCCCCTTTCTTTTTTATCTTCACATCCAGGACCTGTGGTTGAGCAGACTGATTGAAGGGGCCTTTACACTGGGTCCCGATCCTGTTTCATTCAGCGGGAGTATAGGATTTTTATGTTGTTTTAGGGCTCCTAAGAACATGTAAATAATCTCCGTTACTCAGAATGCAAGGCAACCGTTTTATCGTCTTCCTCCCCGTCATCTGTTACTTGCGCTGCAGCTACTGATCCCCCTCCTGCGTTAAGCACTGGGCAGGCCTGCAGCGAAAGGCCTCTGTCCCTCTAGCCGCTGTCTGCCTTCGGTATAGGATTTTTATGTTGTTTTAGGGCTCCTAAGAACATGTAAATAATCTCCGTTACTCAGAATGCAAGGCAACCGTTTTATCGTCTTCCTCCCCGTCATCTGTTACTTGCGCTGCAGCTACTGATCCCCCTCCTGCGTTAAGCACTGGGCAGGCCTGCAGCGAAAGGCCTCTGTCCCTCTAGCCGCTGTCTGCCTTCGGTCCCTAGTCGGTTTCACACAAGGGTGTCCCTTGTGCTAACCTGCAGCTGCAGCCGCTGGGAGCAGACGGTGCACGGGCATGTTTAGACTTCTGCTAATATTCCTAGTCAGTGGCTTTCCTGAGGTAGCCCAAAGCGGCAAATACCACAAGGGAACCTTTTAATTCCCCTGTCCTGTTCCTGGTCAGCTATATCCGTGACTCCTGTACACAGCGCAGTTGTGCAGTGACTGACGTCTGTGGGGTGGGAGGTGGGCAGGGAGATACCCCACGGGGATAATTTTATACAAAAATCCAAGGAAACATTTTTGTTGGTCTTACCTTGTGCGTGATCAAGCTTATTGCTTTGGTGCAAATTTAACTCAATGGCGCCTTATCAAAAGGTCATTTTTAATGACCTCAAATGCAGAACACTATCATTAGAGTCATCGTGCCTGCGTTTCCTAGCCTCCCCGGCTTTCAAGGGAATGAATCGCTCTTCAGAATGAAGAGGCCCGGTTGGCAAGTTCCTTTAAAAAATAAAAACAAAAGGGGACGATTTCTGTCTTTGGCAAGTGTCCTTCGCTGTCTGTTAGAAGCGAACCTTTTCCAAAACAGAGCACACGACAGTACCGGAATGGTTTGGTCTTTTACATTTTTTTTCTTACTCTTCACAAAAATGTCCCCCCTCTAAACAGCCCCAGAGAAAGAGGCTTCCCTTGACGTTATAACTCAGAGGAAATTTAAAACAAACTGGTGGAACTTTTTGCATATTTGCCTCCAACTGATGTCCAGCAAATCGTTACGATTTTTCTGAATACCAGACCTAAAAAGCCTCATTTTGTTGGCGACATGAAACCAATTGCTCATCAGGTACAGGTGCAGAGCAGGCTGGACAGACCTGTCAGAGATGATCTGTCCTAGATGGTGCTTGGTTCTGCCCTGAGGGCAGGGGACTGGACTTGACGCCTCCCGAGGTCCCTTCCCGTTCTAGTGATCTATGATTTTATGATTCTTGCCTGCTCTTTCAAATGCCTCCCACTCAGCCGCTCTGTGCTCTGGTCCTGTTTGCAGAACTTTGCTGCTCAGATGGCAGGAGGGTTTGACGAGAAGGCCGGTGGCGCTCAGATGGGTGTGATGCAGGGACACATGGTAAGATGCTGGGCGTCCTCTTTGCGAGAGGCTTGCTCTTTAGGGTTGAGCTTGGCCGGGGCTGGGGGTGGCTAATCCGGCCATTAAAACGCTGCTCGATATTGGTGAATAACGTGGTGATGGAATTCTGCACAGCAGAGTCTCTGTCCCTGTCCCCTGGCCACAACCCCCCAAATCAGCCCCGCGGTTGCGGAACCAAAGATTCCTTCGCACCAAGATGACTTAATACCTCGGCCTGCGCTCTGCTTGCCAGGCCCCGCCAGTCACGCGCCAGATCGTTGAAACGCGCCCTCCCGGGTCCTGGGCGTTCTGTTTAGGGGCTGCTCTCTGTTGCTTTTGGCCCCGGGCTGAGGAATGCATGACAGCAGCTACTGTGCCTCAGGAGCCCACAAGATTTCCAGCAGGAAATGTCTGCTCTCCAGCCGTTCTTGGCAGGCAGTGAATGGAGCTTAGTGAACATGGCCAGGTTCCAGGGGAACACGTGCGGCTTCTTTTCCCTTCCCTCCAAGCTGCTGCTGAAGTGACTGCCTCTGGGGGGGCTGCGAATAAAAGGGGTGATTTCAAAGCCCTCCCCTGCCTCCCTGGCAGAAAGACCCTTGTTCTTTATGGGCCGTCAGCTCCACCCTCTCCCGGCGCGTGGAGATTTTCTTACCGACTCTGCTCTTTGTTTCCCGACGTAGGGACCTATGGGACCGCGAGGACCCCCCGGGCCATCGGGATCCCCTGTAAGTACCTGCCCTTGGGGGAGCGAGCGGTCTCGCTGCGGGGGGGCGACCAGCCCCTGGGGAGGGCGTCACTGAGGCGCCTTTGCTGTGCTGTTGCAGGGTCCTCAAGGATTTCAAGGCAACCCTGGAGAGCCTGGAGAGCCCGGAGCGTCAGTGAGTAACCGGGGACTCTGCTTTTGGCCCCAAGGGCGCAATCCCCCCCGCTACCCGCCCGAACGCGCAGCCCCCCAGCGGTCCCCGCCCACCGCCCCGAGCGTCAGACTCCCAGGTGGTCTCTCCCCACCGAGAGGCCCCGACACCGGAGCCGCAGGAGCCCCCCTTCCCCTGCGCCCACGCCGCTGGATCGCTGATTGGCGGAGCTGTGCCTAGATCACAGAGGTAGCCCAAGGGATTTGGACACGCAGTTCCCAGGATAACTAGCAGGGACAGGGCATCCTAGCAGGGGATCTGGCAAATCTCCCGTCTGGGCGTGAGGCACAAGAGGCTGGGGACTAAGCTGATGACTAGAAAGGAAAGTGGCTCCGTGGGGCGGATCCCGACTCACAGCTCAGGCGGTGTCAGGCGCAGGGGGAGTCTGTGAGGCGCCCGGCGACGCTGTGCGCTGAGGAGGTGACGGTGTAAAGAACAGCTTTGTCCGCGCCCAGTCGATGGCTTTGTGTGGCAGGGTGACCAAAGGGAAAGGGGCACGGAGAGACGGGGTGCAGATATCTAGGAGGAAGGGGAGTCCAGTTGATAGTGGAATTCGGTATTTGAGCCTGTGCCTGTCTTATGCTGGTCTGGAGAGGCCCACTCGGTAAAAACTGACTGCAAGGCATGGCCTGCTGTGCTGAAAACACCGTCCTGTCTGGGAGACTCACAGGCGGTATCCTAAAGCAGTGAGAGAAAGATAACTCCCCATTTTAAAGACAGGGAAACTGAGGCATGGGGGTGGTTAAGTGGCTTTCCCACGGCCACACGGGGAGTCTGTGTCAGAGAAAGGGCTAGCCCCGCCCACCAGGATGGCTGTGTCTCACGCTGGCGCTCTTCCCACAAACTTACCCTCCCTCCCACGCACCGATGGCCAATGGCAATGCACGTAGTGGGGCACCAGGACTCGGCGCTCGTTGGGCCCTGTGTAACCTCGGCGTCGATGCTCTGGGGGGCAAACAGCCCACTGGTGAGGCTTGTTGTGGGGTTGCAAACAAAGGCCAGGAAATGGCCTGAAAACGGCGCCATGAGGCTCAGTGTGGACGGGTGCTCCCGCATCGGGCCTGAAGGACGGCAGTGGAGGGTCACCCTGGCTTCCCTTGGGTCACGTGGCTCAGTCCCAGAAGCCTCCCGTCGCCGATCTCACTCTCAGGACATCCCCCCCGAATTCTTCCTCTCTCCCTTTCGTCCCGTCCCCCCCTAGTCCTCGAACCAGCGACTTGGGGGCCTTTGGCAGGAGAGCTTCGCTGTGTGTCCTGCCCAGCCCCTCTGGCCCGGCTCACGCACGGAGAAGAGCGCCCCCTGCTGGCTGACAAGTTGTAGCTCCAAGTCCCGGGAGTCGCCCAGCCAGGCCAGCGCTGTAGCCCTTGAGAGCTGCCAAGCTCGCAGCCAGAGGTTTTATGGTTCTGTTTATTGCACACACGCATACGCGCGCACACATGCACCCCCATGTGCACACACCCATGCAATCATGCACACGCGCGCACACGCATATGCTCACACACATACACCCCCCATGCATTCACACCCACACACGTGCACACACACATATGTGCACACGCACACACACACGTGTGCACACATGAACATACACACATACGCACGTACATACTCACACGTGCATACCCATGCGCACACAGAAGCAGAGGGTATTGGGAGGAAGTTTCCAGCTCACGGCGAGGGCCTCTGCAGCCCGTCCCAGCGCTGCTACAGCTGTCGGCACCGCCCCCGCCCCCGCCCCTCATAGGTGCCCTACCCCCAAGCCAGTCCTTCCGCCCACTGAGGCAGCGTGATGTTCGAAGCCCATTAGCTGAGTTACCCTGAACTGAGAGGCCCCCAGGCCCCGTAAGCCCCGTGATGATAGATTGTTGTGACTCCAGTAAAAAGAGTCGGACTCTCCCACCTGTAGCCTGCCTGGCACGGCTTGCTCACTCTCTCTGTCTTTCTAGGGTGCAATGGGTCCCCGAGGGCCTCCTGGACCACCTGGGAAACCTGTTCGAAGCCCATTAGCTGAGTTACCCTGAACTGAGAGGCCCCCAGGCCCCGTAAGCCCCGTGATGATAGATTGTTGTGACTCCAGTAAAAAGAGTCGGACTCTCCCACCTGTAGCCTGCCTGGCACGGCTTGCTCACTCTCTCTGTCTTTCTAGGGTGCAATGGGTCCCCGAGGGCCTCCTGGACCACCTGGGAAACCTGGGGATGACGTAAGTACAGAGCAGGGCAGAGCCCACGGCCCTGCAGGCAGCTGCAGCGAGTTGCATGTAGCCGAGCACCCAGCGTCATCAGCACTGGGGTTATTTCCGCTCGGTTCTTGCTGTGCCCAGTGTAACGCCCCGAGGCTCACAAGGGGGCTGTGGCTGCCCGGAAGGGCTGCCGGGTTCTCGCTGCGCCGCGCTCCGGGCTCGCGCCGAGGGACGCTAAGGGGTCTCTCTCTCTCTCTCAGGGCGAATCTGGCAAACCTGGCAAATCTGGTGAACGGGGATCCCCTGGCCCTCAGGTAACGAAGGCTCCTGGCCGCGAAGTCTGGGTTACGAGGCAGGAAGGCGGCCGGCGCCGGCCCAGCTCGCAGGAGAAGTCAGGGGATGAACCGTTAAACCCGCCTGGGCTTTGCCAAAGAGACGCCAGGTTGTTGCCACCAGCGTGGGGCTCAGGGCGGCAGAATTCAGACCCACGGCTGGACCCGGGTTCAGTCCCTGCCCACTGCAGAGCAGGGGCTGTGCTGAGTGCCCTGCGCTCACAGCCACTCAGATGCTGGCTTTGGCGCAAACCATCTGCAGCAAGTCCTGGTGGTGTGAATTGGCCTGGCCCTCTTGCTAAGGGATCTGGCTCTACATATCCTGCGTTAGGCTCCTAGATGTGATGCTGACCTAGGCCTCTATGTTACCTGAATTTGGCTCTAGCTGTTACCCTACACGGCCCTCGATATTACGCTAATAGGGCTCTAATCTGTAGAGCCTGCAGATTCCCCGAGATCTGCTTTACATCCGCTGGTATCCGCTCCCGCAGATATGGACACAGCTGTCCGTGGCTCGTTTTGTGGATACGGGCGCATCAAATGCACATTGTGTCTCTAGGACCGTGCAACTTTGTGGCTTTCTGCTTTCCATCCGCCGGCGTCCGCGGTGCATTGACGCCGACGTGGATCCCTGCCCGAATCCACGCAGGGCTGTAATTGTCGGAATCTGACCCTTTGTGTGTCCCTGACCAACGATGCGCCGGAGGAAGATTCCAGTCCTGTCCCTGGAGCTAGTGAATAATGGGACGTCTGAGCACAGTTGGGGAACTCGCTCCCTTCCCCCCCGAGCTCCCGGCCGTTCCTTTGGGCTGACCTCCCTGTCTTTCCTTTTAGGGTGCTCGAGGCTTCCCAGGAACCCCGGGGCTGCCAGGAGTCAAGGGGCACAGGGTAAGCAGGCGGGGTTGTGACTCACCCGGGGCTGCCCCCCTGCTCAGGCTCGCTGGGAGAATAACCGCACTGTGCGTCTCTCCCTAGGGCTACCCTGGCTTAGACGGGTCCAAAGGCGAAGCCGGAGCTGCAGGTGCTAAGGTGAGCGCTACCCCCAGGAGCCCGGTCTCTGCTGTCCAAAAGGGACCTTCCGCATGGCTCTCTGGGCCTGCAGGGCGGGAGCAGCCCGAGGGGAAAGTTACCGCCGGAGCCCTGCTGCCCTCGGCGCTGTACGAAACCGTCATGGGAGGTGGCACCTACCCCAAGGCTCACAGGCTGCACGGCTCGCGGGCCAGCTCGTCCCATTCATACTCTCCCGGTTGTGCCCCTCCCTCCGGCTTGTCCCATTCATACTCTCCCGGTTGTGCCCCTCCCTCCGGCTTGTCCCATTCATACTCTCCCGGTTGTGCCCCTCCCTCCGGCTTGTCCCATTCATACTCTCCCGGTTGTGCCCCTCCCTCCGGCTTGTCCCATTCATACTCTCCCGGTTGTGCCCCTCCCTCCGGCTTGTCCCATTCATACTCTCCCGGTTGTGCCCCTCCCTCCGGCTTGTCCCATTCATACTCTCCCGGTTGTGCCCCTCCCTCCGGCTTGTCCCATTCATACTCTCCCGGTTGTGCCCCTCCCTCCGGCTTGTCCCATTCATACTCTCCCGGTTGTGCCCCTCCCTCCGGCTTGTCCCATTCATACTCTCCCGGTTGTGCCCCTCCCTCCGGCTTGTCCCATTCATACTCTCCCGGTTGTGCCCCTCCCTCCGGCTTGTCCCATTCATACTCTCCCGGTTGTGCCCCTCCCTCCGGCTTGTCCCATTCATACTCTCCCGGTTGTGCCCCTCCCTCCGGCTTGTCCCATTCATACTCTCCCGGTTGTGCCCCTCCCTCCGGCTTGTCCCATTCATACTCTCCCGGTTGTGCCCCTCCCTCCGGCTTGTCCCATTCATACTCTCCCGGTTGTGCCCCTCCCTCCGGCTTGTCCCATTCATACTCTCCCGGTTGTGCCCCTCCCTCCGGCTTGTCCCATTCATACTCTCCCGGTTGTGCCCCTCCCTCCGGCTTGTCCCATTCATACTCTCCCGGTTGTGCCCCTCCCTCCGGCTTGTCCCATTCATACTCTCCCGGTTGTGCCCCTCCCTCTGGCTTGTCCCATTCATACTCTCCCGGTTGTGCCCCTCCCTCCGGCTTGTCCCATTCATACTCTCCCGGTTGTGCCCCTCCCTCTGGCTGGTCCCATTCATACTCTCCCGGTTGTGCCCCTCCCTCCGGCTGGTCCCATTCATACTCTCCCGGTTGTGCCCCTCCCTCCGGCTGGTCCCATTCATACTCTCCCGGTTGTGCCCCTCCCTCCGGCTGGTCCCATTCATACTCTCCCGGTTGTGCCCCTCCCTCCGGCTTGTCCCATTCATACTCTCCCGGTTGTGCCCCTCCCTCTGGCTCGTCCCATTCATACTCTCCCGGTTGTGCCCCTCCCTCTGGCTTGTCCCATTCATACTCTCCCGGTTGTGCCCCTCCCTCCGGCTTGTCCCATTCATACTCTCCCGGTTGTGCCCCTCCCTCTGGCTTGTCCCATTCATACTCTCCCGGTTGTGCCCCTCCCTCCGGCTTGTCCCATTCATACTCTCCCGGTTGTGCCCCTCCCGCCGGCTTTGTCCCCTCTCAACCTCCCCC